GCACCTTCCCGGAGCCTTCACCTCTCAAAGCCCGCACAAGGGCTCATCTCTTGGCCACAGAAGAGCGCATACGTGCACGCTTGCAACTCCACACAGGTTGGGCTGGATTGTGAAGGAAACGCCATCCAGGCGCGCTGGACAGCAAGGTCCACGATGGGTGACCCTCTCTGCCACGGGATGGCGCAGTTGCGAGAAGTACCACTTGCCGTTCTTCCCTCCCGCACCTTTTTGGGGGATAGCCGGAAAGGGCGCAACGAGCTGTCTTCCTCCTGAGTCTCTCTTCTGCCCCCTCCCCGTCCTGCCTTCCTTCTCCTTGTTCTCAGATTCCCCATTCCCACTTGGACAGAAAGGGGTTTCTGCGCCCACGCAGCCTCCAGTTGGCGTTGTAGAAGGGTGAGTGAGCAGATGGCACCACCGGGAAACCCCCTGGTCCTGAAGTCCAGTGGAAATAGCTGTGTTTATATATATTTTTTTTAAAAAAAACTGGTTCCGGAGTTTCCTGTTTTTAATTATAACTACTTCGCTCAACTACCGGGTGTCTGTAGGCTCAGGATAACAAAAGCAAAAGGGTAGGTGGGTTGGGGTCTCACTCTGCAGTGGGTTTCTGAGGATTTTAGTCATGCGTCGTGTCAAGGGTCCAGTACTTGAACCACGTAGATTTTCTCCTCCATTATAAGGATGAGGCGGCATACTTATAATTATAGAAGTAGCTAAATCAAGGGCCATAATACCGTAGAAAGAATGGTGTTATTCCCTGCTCAACTGCAGTCATATTCTTGTTAGAGATAGAAATTTCTACACTCTTTGTGCCCCAGTGCCAGCCTGGAGCTTTCTTTCTGAACAGGAAGCTAAGCCAAGCTCGGCCTAGCCTTAACCTCAAGGTCTTCCTGTTTAGGCCTTTCTCCCAGGTGAGCCACATTTAGAGATGGGGAAGATCCCTGTCTCTCAGGTGGAACTCTCAGAATGGAAAATTATGGGATTTATAGTCCAAGAACAATGATGACCCATACCTAGGAGGTTTCTCCTCTTACGTCATAACAACATGGTTGAATCCCGTACGACAAGAGATTCGTGAAATTAATGCTACACAGCTAGGGTGTGGGATTTACATCTGGCCACCAGTCCATCTCAGAAATTTCCAGTGTGAACCAATTGTGTCCCACTCTGACGGAGCAGGATTGCTCGTTCGCTTTAAATGGCTTTCAAATATGACGAAGGGCCATGAAAAGAAGTAGCCGCCGATAAAGCCCTTGGTCCCAAGTGGAGTTATTCTGAGGTTGTTGAGAGGCCCTCAGTGATAAGGAGGAAATCTCTGGTAGGAGAAGTCAGTTCCTGGAGATGTTCTGATCAGTCCATAAAAGGCTTTAACCACCAGCCAGCAACCTGCTTTGGGCCAGGAAGTAGTTGAAAAAATAGGTCAGAATCCCACCCAAGACATCCCGCAAGTTAACGAAACATCCTCCGAAATCTAGGTGGATGGATTGAGGTCTCTGGATCATTTTTCTCATGGAAAAGTCCTGTGGTGATCCCATTGCACTGGGTCCGATGTCAGCCTGCCCTTATCCCAGAGCCCGTTAGGGGCCGAGAAAGATCCGGGAAGTGAGTGAGAGAGAGAGAGAGAGAGAGAGTGCCTTGGGATTCAGAAGGCTCTCAAGAAACCCACCACGAGTTGGACCCCAACCCTGACAGAGCCGAGTTAAAACTCTAATGCTTTCGTAAGAAAGTCTATAAAAGTTAGCCGTTGTGGAAGGTAGGTAAAAACAGCAACCAGACTACCGGGACTCTGGAAAGATTTGTGTTTTATGTACAGCGCAAGGGATTTATTTATTATTTATTTATTTTCAGTTGTGATTTCCTTTCTTTTGAATTTTTTTCCCCTCTTTATTTATTCCTCAGTTGATCCGGCGGCTTGATTTTCTTTTCTGGCCTCTTGTTTTGCTTTCCTCGCTTGTCATTTCGGTTCAAATTACATGCTCTTTATTTTTGGAGCGGCTGGTGGGACGGATTGAAAAGCTTTCAATCCCAGGCAGAGACAAAGAGAGCCGTTGTAAATTTTATTCACCCGGATCGTTCAAGAACCCTGAGAGGATTTTATTCTGGCCAGACGCCTCTTGAGATTTGACGCTGGAGGAAGTGACATGGCATAAACAGGAGCAGCAAATTGCCGGCGATTAACAAGGTGCTGGTTGCGTGCCCGGCCATGCACCTGTTCATGCAACTGGCACAAGACCAGACATGCACCCCAACACGTCATTCATCTGTACGATTTCTGTGATCTCGCAGCCCGTAGAATAAAATACCAACGGGATTCTATCCAGTTCTTAATTCTTATTTCTTAGAGACAGTGTAGTAGGATGGACAAGTGAAAGCTTTTGATACGGAATTCCATCTCCCACACCCTAAAATAAGAGAAATGGCTATCAGGTCAATCCCTCTGAGCCTAAGAAGGGCTCTAGAATTGATTTGGAGGAATTAAAAAAGAATTCCTTCCATGGGCTGGATTTCTGTTCAATATTGGTAAAGTTACTTTAACATCTCTCTCCTCTTCGGTTTTAGCAAGACTAAAGCAGGAACAGCCAAAACGTTCTTAGGTGTCTCAGCCATAACCTACCATCTCCTGTGACTAGAGTTCGTTTAGCTGAGGAGATGTCGTCGGTCTTTCCCAGTTTAACTTTTCAGTCCCTTTTCAGAACGTTCACCAGATCCCGAAATTCGAGGGGAACTCTGTGCCAGCTTTTCACAGCAAGAATTTGAGCAAGCTAAGCCAGTAGAGTGGTTTTCCTCCACCCTTATTCCTGGTCCTTTTTGGTCTTCCTTGAGATATCCAGTGTGGTGTAGTGGACAGAGTGCCAGACATGGCTTGGGTTCGAATTCTCCTGGAAACTCCCTGGAGGAGTGAAACTGGTAGAACCATTCCTTAAATATCTCACTTAGCTTGAAAGCCCTCTTTGGCTTGTTGTAAGCCAGTTCTGGCTTGATGCCATATTACTATGATTATTTTAATAACAACAATAATAATGACGGAGCCGCCCTGTCCTTTTCAGCTTTCCTTTAGGGAGAGAGAACAGACTTTTGAATTTGTCCACCTGGAGACAGCCCGTTAAAATCAAATAAAATGGATTACCTTTATGGGAGGTAACATTCAAGAGTCATTTTTGAACATTTTTAGAGAGTGATCACATTTAGACCCTGATGTCCAAAAATCTGTTGTAAGCTCCATGTTGCCCATAACTTGATTGTGCTGCTTTGCTTATACAGTGGTGCCTTGCTTAGCGATGTTAATTCATGCAGAAAAAAATCACTGCTAAGCGAAAATAAAAAGCCTGTAGAAACGCATTAAAACGTGATTAATGCGTTCCTATGAGCTTAAAACTCACCTTTAAATGAAGATCCTCCATAGCGCCGCCATTTTCAGTGCCTCTAAAGCGAGGAATCTGTGCCTGAAAACAGCGGGCTGCCATTTTGAAACCGCCAATCAGCTGGCCGAAAATGTGGGCTTTGCGACGGTCGCTTCCCTGCGATCATCGCAAAGTGAAATTTCCTCATAGGGAACATCGCAAAGCGATCGCTTTTGCGATTGCAAAAACAGCGTCGCTAAGCGATTTCATCACTATACGGAGCGGTCGCTATGCAAGGCACCACTGTATTTAATTTCTATTCCAGTAGGCCTCTGGTTTTTTTAACCCCCTGCTTAGATATCATACGTTGGTTTTATTCCCCACCAGGCGTAGATCAGCACTCACAACGGTAGATGTCTCCTAAAGAACTATGCAGAACAAAATAATATTTGTTTATTTGAAATATTTTTGGCCCGCCTGCCTCATTAGAAAGGACCCAAGGCGGCTGTCATCATTAAAAGATTATATTTGAAGCGCACAGCAGTGAGCATACAAATACTGCAAAGGACAAATGCCACGATAAAATGGGAAAGGAAATAAATACTGAAAACGCATTCAAAGCAACAAAGCACGACAGTCCATTTAAAAACCCCACTCGGGCAGCTAGTCACACAGGGAAAGCTTACCTGGAGAGAAAGGTCTTGGCCTGGTTGCAGAAAGACAGCCCAGATAGGGCCAGGCTGGCCTCCAGTGGCAGGAAGTTCCAGAGTCTCAAGGAGCAGCCATAGAGAAGGCCCCTCTCTTATGTGTCTCTACCAAACATACCTATGAAGGTGGTGGGACTGAGAGAAAGTCCTCCCCTGATGTATATAATAATATAAATTATGAATTAAAATTAAAATGGTCCGGAATATTATTGAAGAATTACACTGATGTAAATGTTGTGGTAAATCAGTGGTTCTTAACCTTTGTTACTCGGATGCTTTTGAACTGCAACTCCCAGAAACCCCCATCAGGACAGCTGGTGGTGAAGGCTTCTGGGAGTTGCAGTCCAAAACTCCTGAGTAACCCAAGGTTAAGAACCAGTGGTCTAAACCACAGGCCTGCTAATTGGATTCGTGGTCCTATGCCAGCCATCCTTTCAAGACTGGGGATTTTAAAAAGACCTGTAAAATCCGTATTCGCAAGCACTTCTGTCCTTCTCTTTTCAACACCCCCACGGTTTCCAAACCAGCCCTCAAGCGTAATATGGGTAGTCACGACTGGGTAGGGGGAAAAACCACCGCTCGCCCAACGTCATCGTTGGTCTTTGGGTTTGCTTTGTAAAATTTGCGTTGCCGTTTTCCTCTTCAGTTGTTCCTGTTGCTTCTGTGTTCCGTTCCTTTTAAAAGAAGCGTTTTTATTCCCTTCTACCCACCCCCCGTTATTTTCAATTTTTATCTTCTGAAACCAAGTTTTTGTACGTTTTGTTTTAGATTCCTTCGTTATCATTTTTTCCTTTTTTTTCTTTTACCTTTCCCATCTTTTCTTCATCACTCCATAACTAATGATCTTTGACTCGGTTTATAGTGCTCTTAGTGTTAATAGAGCGGCCTTAAAAATGAAACGAATAAATAAAATAAATAAAAAATAAATGGCTTCCCCTGCCGCTCCCCCCCATAGAACCGTCCGCCCCCCCTCAAGACGTAAAGTGCGTCAGCACCAAGTCCACGGCCATTCTGGTAAGTTGGCAGCCGCCTCCGGCCGAAAGCCAAAATGGCGTCTTGGAAGGTTATAGCATCCGCTACCGAGCATTGGATGCTGACGACACCGAACCCAAAGAGGTGACTGGCATCCCTCCGGAGACCAATCAGATCCTTCTGGAACCGCTGGAGAAATGGACCGAGTACCGCATCACGGTGGTGGCACGCACGATGGTGGGGCCAGGCCCTGAAAGCTCGCCGGTCATCGTCCGTACTGACGAGGACGGTAATTAGACTTTTTGTTCTCCTTCCGTTTTCATCTTTCATATAATTTCTTGAGCTTCTAATCGTGGACACGTAACCATGGGCTCAAGCGACAGGAAGCCACGTTTACGCTGAACATCAGAAAAAACTTCCTAACTGTTAGAGCAGTATGACAACGGATTCCAAGAGATTCAAGAGAAAATCGTACTCCCCCCTCTGTCGGATCTGCTTTGATTTGGATTCCTGCCTTGAGTAGGGGGTGGGACTTGATGGCCTTACAACCCACCCACCCCTTCCAAGTCAATTATTCTATGATTGTATATGGTGGAAAGGGTCTCTGAGGCCAAGCCCCTGCTCAAGGCAGAAAGCCGACCCAAAAACTGATCAGCCAGGTGGTGGTCTAAATTTCTCTTGAAGGTCTCCAGCATGGGAGCGCTCACCACCCCTCGATGTCATGGGTCCCATTGTCGTACTGCTTTAACAGCCGAGACGTTTTTCCTGATGGTTCAGCCAAAATCTGGCTTCCAGCAGCTTGAACCCATTCTTGCATATTCTGTGCTCGGGGATGATGGAGATCAGATCCTGCCCCAACCGTTTAAGTCTTTGAAGAGCACTACCCTGTATCCCCCTCCATCTTCTTTTCTCAAGGCTAAACAGGCCCATTTTTTTCCAGTCCCCTTGATCACCCTTGTTCCCTTCCTCTCAACTTGCTCCGGTTTGATGAGGCTGGACTGTTAAATTTGAGTGGACGGTTCTCTATGAAGATGCCAAGACAGAGGGCCTCTCACACTTAAAGGATAACCTGATGCCCACATTCATGTTCTGTGTTGCGCAGAAATTAAACAGGTCCCCTCTCGCACCGCATTTCTTGAGTGAGGTGTCCTGTGGCAAGCTCCAAATTTCCCTACAGCGGCATCTCATTAATTCCCCTCCAATAGTTACTTGGGAAGTTACTCACTTGTTCCGGAAGGAATCTGTCTTTCGGTAGAAGATAACCGCTTCCCATTTCCGATCCTCTCAGAACAGAACCGTTACATAGATATACATGTGCTGCTTGAAAGTTTCTGAGGGAAAGAACCCGGGGAAGCCGGTAACATCACCACCCCTTTTACCCAAGTCTGTGCGGGCCGGATCCATTTTCCAGTCCATGGTTCTGAGAACTGTCAGCTTCCCATTAACCCCAGACAGGCTACGATGCCTCCTTCGTTCATTTCACTTATGCCATGATTTACAATTAGTATCAGTCTGTCTTTGCGAGTTAAAATTTCTCAGCTGTATCCTAGTGATGATTTTTTTTTTAAAAAAGTGCTTGCTTGCCTTTGCGGACGGTCTCTATTCAAGCTGAACCGCATCCCCACCTTTTTCTCTCCTCTTCTGCTTCTTCCCTCCTCTTCCCCCCCCCCCCCCNTTGTTGTTTGCTTCCAGTGCCCAGCGCTCCGCCTCGCAAGGTGGAAGTGGAGGTTCTCAATTCCACGGCCATCCAGGTGTTCTGGCGGTCGCCGGTCCAGAACCGGCAACACGGGCAGATCCGGGGCTACCAAGTCCATTATGTGCGCATGGAGAACGGAGAGGCAAACGGCTTGCCCCAGATCAAGGACGTGATGCTGGCAGACGCGCAGGTGAGCAAGAAGTGCCTTTATCTCTAAGCCCCTTCTCTGCTGTTATTAAGGACTGGCACAACTTAAATCAAATTGGATTCTGCTACGTGCGTGCCTTCTTTTTCCAACATGGGGCTTCTCCTGCCCCTCCCTCCCTTACTTCCTCAGGTGGTCGAATTTTGCAGCATTTGTCGGGGAATTGGTACATTTTGTTGAATTTTTTTTCTCATGGAAAGTCCTGTGGCGATCGCCTGGTGTCTGATTCTGTGGGGTTTTGTTCCAGTGGGAGGGTGTACACACACACACACAAACGGCATTGCAAAATTCGGACAGACCACTGTCAGCAAAATTCGGAAAGGGCGCCTGCCGCCGTGGAGTTAAATTTCCCTACATTGGCGTAGCCTTGGAACAGATGGCTGCTGAGACTGCAAACCGGGTCACTTTCTTGTCCATCCGTAGACGCCGTGCATTCCTGTGCAACTCGGAAGCTGGTGAGGAGAGCAGGGCGTGTCTTTATGGGTCTTCAAATCTCCCCAGATTTTGGGGGAAGAGGGTTTTTTCTGAGCTGCCCGGTCTTTATGTGGGAGAACCGTGAGTGTGTGAGCCAAATGCTCTTTACGTGTTCAGGTCCTGGATGCCTGGAAGGTTCAGGATTGTGCTTTTGGGGATTCCTCTATATATAGTTTATTAACACGCCCGACTAATGGAGGTCAGTTCAAACACTTTGCTTCATCCCGTTTCAACTGGAAAACCTTTTTCTGGGGGGAAAACTTTTCTGGGGGGGAAAAGTTTGTTCTTAACAGGGACTCAAATTCGGGACTGGGTACGAAGAACTCGAACTTGGAACCAAAGGCTTACCAACATTCCTAGTAGTTGCATTATTCCATTTTTTCTATAGAAGAGATTTTGCCTTTTGATTTCCCCCCCCCCCAGAAGTGGGAGCCATTTAAAGTTATTGGGGCCCCACATCTTTCAGAGATGGAGACCCCTTTTTAAAAAGAGTGAAAGAAATCATCTGCCACTCCAGGCCACATCTGAGCTGTTCAGCTTGTAGGCACCCATTCGCACCGATGTGCCTTTGCCATCAGGCGAACAGTGGCATGATCTCCCGGGTGCCTTTTTCAATGCCTGCCAACGGTGTTACCTGTCACTGAACCGGTGGCGCGGGACGGTATGGTCCGTCTCACGAGGGTGCCCGGAACCTCCCGTTCCTCCTCCTTGAGTTAGAATCGGGAAGGGCGCTTTTGGTTAAGTTTGCAATTTGTGTCCCCCTCCGAAATTTGCTTTTTTTTTTTTTTCCCCGCCTTGGGAAGCTTTGGAGAAAAACGTTTGGCACACACGCACCCCGTGTGTGTTTTTGTTGCCTCTTCAAGCCACCAGGGAAACTCCCGTCCGCGGAAGCCAAGACGTTCTCCTAACCGTGCCGCTTCGTGGGTTTCCTTCCCGTTCTTCCCAGAAGCCCCCGGGGGGCTTCTGGGAGAGAGAGAGACGTTTCGCGACCGGACCGCCACCCCTCCATGCTTCCTCTTTCCATCTCATCCTTTTCTCTCTCCTTTCTTTCGTTCTTCTCTGCCTGCCTTCTGTGGGTCAGTGGGAAACAGATGATACCGCAGAATACGTAAGTATGACTCTCCCGTCCTGGTGACCTTCCCCCCCCCCAACGTCCTTCCCCCTTGCCTTGGTGATGATAGGAGGCTCTTGTTGTATTCTTTTCCTTTCCTTTATATTTATTTATCCATTCCCCCTTCCAATCTCTCCTGCCCTGCTCAGCTCGGTTTGTGCCTCTTTTTGGTTCCTCTCTGTACCGTTGGTTGTGCTGTGATTTCTGTGCATCCCTCAAGCGGGAGGGCTATGCACGGATCCTGTGATATCCTTTGGGGAGCATTGGGACGGCCCTGTGTTTTGGCCCCGAGCCAGCAGTAACTCCTCCAGTTGGATCCGCATTGCACCTCCAGGTCCATCCATGGGCTTTGTCCACCCAAACGCCGTCAAAGTCAAGACCCATGAGTTGGAAAACCAAGCACCTTTTTTTTTTGCACTGCTGATGTGAAAAATTTGGAGGCTTTTGGGGAGCCTAAATAAGAGTGGGTGTACCTTCCAAATCTCTGGCCCCTTGCTTCAAGCTTTTCTGCACGAAGCACCTTCCAAATGGCTTCTCTTTCCCCCACCCCCACTCCCAAACAGAATGAAAGAAGAATAGAAGGTGGAAGCGATTTGTACCCAAGATCCTAAAGGATCTGGAAATTCCCTTTGCTTTCCTTGGCATGGAATCCGGCCATTCTGCTCCCTCCTGGGTTCTCCAACAGATCGGTGCAGATCCCACCGGTTCTGGTCATTGCTTTGTGACTTGCTCAACTGCTTTGAACTGGTTTCTGTGAGTTCGAGGCAGCTGTCCTCAGTGTCCTCCCCTCCTGAGGGGTTTAACTATGACTCCCATCATCCCTCACACTCTTAGCTGATTAAGAACTGCAGCTGCAAGGTGCTGAGTTTAAAAAAAAAACAGGGATGTTTCAAGGCAGAGGAGGCTCACCATAACGACAGGTGAAACCCATGTGTAATAATAATCTTGGAATGGCAGAGCGGGAAGGGATCCTAAAGGTCATCAAGTCCAGCCCCTGCCAAGTGAGGGAATCAAGCTCATGACCTCTGGCTGTGCAGCCACAGACCTAAGCCACTGAGGATGCAGAAAGAGGGCCCATCATCATCATCTTCAAAATAAAATTAGCGAGAGGAGGGAAAGGATAATAAAATGGAGGAGACACTTTAATCCATTTGAAGCTGGCAAGTTTTTCCCCCACCCTAGAGACTTTGGGTCCTTTGAGGAATCTGGGTGAACATTTTTGACGCAGAGCGTTTTTGAGATATGACACAAACGTCAGATGGCAGGCTCCATCCGCCTCCATCCGCTGCGTGCTTGGCATCGTGCACGGTGTGGCGTGTGTTCTGTAGTGAAAATGTACCGTTTTCCTTCCTTTTCCTCCCTTCTGCTGCCTCCCGGTTTTAGTTTCACACTCCGCCTCAGTGATTGCTTTGTGTTGCATTTCTGCATGCGGTGCGGTCCTCGTGGCGATCTTTGCCC